GGGCCTCTATGCTTCCAACCAAGCAACATCCTGAGAGACTTTAAAATCGGAGTGGAGGAAATGGTTGCACCTGAGCGAGGCTGCCAACCATTCCAGCCCCCTGCAGCCTCGGACACGGGGTCATCTCCCAGCCGGAACCCAGCCCAGAGAGAAGGTGGGCAGGGTCTTTGCCGTCCCCCGAGGGGCTCCAGGGGGCCGCTCTCAGAGTTCACGGGGTTCTTTTCTCCCTGATAAAGCACACCTGTAAGAGGGAAGGCAACTCTAAATTCAGAATGAGAGAGAGCAGGCATTCTTCTCTACTCAGAATGAAAACACTGGGCACATCATCACTTTGCTGTGTCTCATTCTTTGGACTTAAAACCAGTGGTTTAAAAAAAAAAAAAAAAAAACCACTCTCAGAGCCATGAGCCAAGGAGAATAACTCAAATGCACAGTAGTTCCCCCCTTATCCCTGGTTTTTCTTTCCACTGCTTCCGTTACCTGCGGTCAATCTGCACTCGGGAAGCAGATGGTCCTCCTCCTGACGTTTAGTCAGAAGGTCAATAGTAGCCTAAACACGACATCACCGTGCCTACCTCATTCATCTCACTTCATCGCTAGGCATTTTATCATCACAAGAAGGGTGAGTGCAGTATCATATTTCAAGAGAGACCACATTCACAGAACTTTTCTTACAGCATATTGTTATAATTATTCTTATTATTAGTTATTGTCATTGATCTCTTACTGTACTTAATTTATGTATTAAACTTTATCATAGGTATGTGTGTATAGGGAAAAAAAAACATAGTATATATAGGATTCAGTACTATCTGTAGCTTCAAGCATCCATTGGGGGGTCTTGGAATATATCCCTCATGGATAAGGGGGGACTACTGTATTATTAGAATGTAAAGTTTACCATGAAATGTACCATTATTGCTGTGATCGACCATGAAATATCTCCTTCCATTTATTATGATTAAACTGCTGTAAAAGGACTAAGCTATTTTGCAGAAAAATTATAAATTAAAATATTTCCCACATATTTAAGAATTAGGAATCTATAATAAAATTGAACCAAGGGGCGCCTGGGTGGCTCAGTTGGTTAAGCGACTGCCTTCGGCTCAGGTCATGATCCCGGAGTCCTGGGATCGAGTCCCGCATCGGGCTCCCGGCTCGGCGGGGAGCCTGCTTCTCCCTCTGACCCTATCCCCTCTCATGCTGTTTCTCTCTCTCTCTCTCTCAAATAAATAAATAAATAAAATCTTTAAAAAAAAAAATTGAACCAGGAATATTTTTTCTGCAATCTCAAGGAATTCCTTGGAGAGCCTACCCCTCATACTGCTAGTGATGTGTGATTAAGTTGGCTACTAAGTTCTACTGCAAATTCCCTTTCTCCAACCTTGGATGAGCCTCCCCTGTTCTGTAGACCTCTTGTTGGTTTGTCCCTGACACCTTCTCACACTGTCACTGCCCCAAGCTCTAAGCCTTTCACTCCCCACAGCTGACCGCACTCTCTCCTTTACTGGAATTGAAGAGAGCCAACTCAGGCATTCCCAGCGCTGCCCTTCACTCATACTGTGTCCACATCTTTCCCCCATGGTAGAAGACACATCCTTCCAAACTGCCAAGGCTAACCCTTCCAACTGTACCCTTGATCCTATTTGCCTTCCTCCATGGTTGCCTTACCCTGTAATAAAGCTGCCACTCTTCCTCCCCACCTCAGTCTCACTCTCTCTGCAGACGTGCACAAATACATCCTAGAAAACCCGCCTTCAAGTCAGAGATTTCTGGGAGCTCTGGCCCTATTTTTCTCACTCCATTTGTTGCCAATGTTCTTGAAAGGACTCTTCATTTATTTACTAAATATATATTGAGTTCCTCCTACTTTGTGGAAAGTATCATGCAAGATGTTAGAGAGATAACAAAGACACGGTTTCCCTTCTGGTAAAGGAAATAGGACCCCCTCCGCAAAGAAACATACAGAAATCTACCACTTATGGTAAGTTCTATTAAGAAACAAGGGGCTGAAATAGAAAGTAACTAGGGGTCCTATTGTAGACAGAGTGGGTAGGGAAGGCCACTTTGATGATGGAGTATTTTGGATAAGACTTGAAGAATGAGAAGGAACTCTGGGAAGGGTAGGGAGAAGAGCAGTTCTGGCTGAAGAAACAGGATATGCAAAGGCCCTGTGGCAGAAATAGTCTGGCCTATTTGAAGAGCTGAAAGGACATTGTGGTCAAAGTACAGTGAGCAAGGGTGAAATCAGGATGATCTTGGAGAGGTAGGTGGACACCAGGTCAGGTAGGCCACAGTTAGGATCTTAGAGTTTATTCTCAATTCAATGAATAGCTGTTGGAGGATTTTTAAAGGGAAGTAACAAAATAATTTCCCTCACAGGTGCAGGGGGAAGGAACTAGAGGGAATCAAGAGCCAAATCAGAGAAAGCAATTGAGAAATTGCTCCAGCAGCCTGGCCTGACACCATGGCAGGGAAGACAGCAAGCAGGGGATGATCTGGCAGTATCTTTGGGAGTTAGAACACATGGGACTTGATTGATTCAGGGAGGGAGTGAGGGAAAGAAGAGATGAGGATGACTGAGGCTTCTGACATGAGCAACTGGGTGGACGGTCGTGCCCTTGATTAGGAAGCGAGGGGATGCATTTGGGGGAGTGACAGGTTTGGAGAGAATAAGTTTTCTGTTTTAAACATGTTAAGTCTAAATGGCTGTGCGCCATCCAGATAGAAATATCAACTGCACATATGTGAATCTGGAGCTCAGAAGAATCTGGCCTGGAGGTGTGAATTTGGTGTGCACCATAAAAATGGTATTTAAATCCAGGAGAACACTTAAGATCACCTGGGAAGGGGGCGCCTGGCTGGTTCAGTCGGTTGAGCATCTGCCTTCAGCTCGGGTCATGATCCCAGGGTCCTGGGATCGAGTCCCATGTTGGGCTCCCTGCTCAGTGGGGAGTCTGCTTCTCCCTCTGCCCCTCCTCCCCCGCTCATGTTCTCTCTCACTCTCTCTCTCAAATAAACATAATAAAACCTTTAAAAAAAATCACCTGGAAAAAGGAAAGAGGGGATGGAAGAGGAAAGAAAGTGAGAGAAGAATAAAATTTTTAAAAAGAGAGAACTCAGAACCAAACCTTAAGAATCCAACAGTCGAAGGATGACTAGCATAGGAGGTGCTACACAAGAGGAGCCACAAAAGATACCAAGAGAAAAACCATGCAAGTGAGGAGAGAAGAAAGCTGGGGAGGGCTCAGCAGCTGAGTTGAAAGTTTCTGAAAGGTCTGGCATCATGGAGCATCGTCTCCTATTGTTTCTGCCTCTCAAATGTAACCCCGCTGTCCAAGGCCAGGTCGAAGGATAAAACCAAAGCAGCCACTTTCTTAGAAATCAGTGGCCATCGATCTCCATATCCAGTATCTTTTCTCAGTCCTCACTGTCCTTGTTTTCTATGAGACTGTGAGACTAGGGATCACCTGGTCCTTTATGAAACTCCCTTCTCTGTTGAGTTTCCATTTACATAACCCATTTCTAGTTCCGTTACTTTTTAAAACATTTATTCTTCTCTGACTTTCCTTTCCCTCCCATCCCTTCAGTGTCTGTTACCCAAGGTGTCCTTGGACCCCTTCTTTGCAGGCTTTTCAGTCTCATTTATTCATGGAGCCTCAACAATCATCCTGTGCCTGATTCCAAAACCCAAATCTCATGCTGAACCCAATTTCTCTTTCAAGACTTGAGCTCTCTATCTCAATTTCCTGCTCAATGTTTCTAGATCAGAGTCGTGCTAACATTTAAAAAGCACTTATTTGCAAAACCAAACTCTCTGTCTTTGCTCCAAAATCTTCCATTTCCCATTATCGTATTTCTATTTATGGCACAACCATCTTCCCCTTGAAATGTTTAAGTTCTTGTTGACTTAGTCTCCCTTTTCATCCCAGACAATTAACAAATGCATTTCTATTGCACTTCCTAACACACCTCTTTACTTTGCACTCCCATACAGTCCCAGTTCACTTGCCCCATCATTGTGCTAGGTCATGCAGAACCTTGTGGGCCCTGGAGAGGAGCTGGGACTTTGTTCTAAGACACATGGGAAGATCCCAGAGCAGTGTGATCATGGCAGAGACATGATCCAAATATCGTTTTCAAAGACACTCCCTGATCTAGCTATAGCATATCTAGCTAATCTCCTGTTCCACTAATCCTCTTCAGACCCACCATGCTCCAACCCAACTGAACAACTTATACTTTCTAGAACCTACCCTATTTGTCCTCACTGCTGTGCGGCTGGTCACCTCTTTTCCCTCCCTAGATCACCCTCTTCTTCATTTCTGCCTCTCAAAATATTGCTTCTCCTTCAAAGCCTAGGGATGCTGACATCTCCCTGATAAAGCCTCCTTGGCTCCCCCAAGAGGGTGATGATCAATCTGTTCTTTGAATCCCCATAGCAGATTATTTTTGCATCCATCATAATGCTTGTCTTGCCCTATTCTGTGTTTTAATGATTTGTGTGTGACGTGTCTCCCCTCTTACGCCGTAAATATCTTAGGACAAGAACTATGTACCTCTCATTTTTGTTCCACTACAAATCATAACACGTACCTTGCACACACTAGACCTCCAGGAAATGCCTGCCAAGGTAATAAATAGATAGCCTCAATTAACATAAATTATTGTTTTGGGTACTGATCCAGTCCTAAATCCATGATGCTATCATTTCTGTATCACTGATGGTTATCCACTTTTTAAAATAATCTTTCTTTGAATACACTTAGAAAAGATGGAAAATTGTGTTATAAGGAAGAAACAAGTATGTAGGTTATTCCCTTCCTTAAACAAAGAAAAGCTCTGTTATGCGTCACGGAAAATTAAAGCACAGTAATAAAATGTGCCAACGAGGCTTGTTGAATAATGATTTAGTGGAAACATGGCCTTGCCTCCTGTTCATAGGTCCTAACTTTCCTCTCAAGTACTTAAGCTGCATGTTCTATTTATTTTGTTTTTAGATTACATTGACAACGATTGGCTATGGAGACAAAACCCCCCTAACTTGGCTGGGAAGATTGCTTTCTGCAGGCTTTGCGCTTCTTGGCATTTCTTTCTTTGCACTTCCTGCCGTGAGTATCTTTGCAAAAATAAAGCCATTTAAATTAGATCTTAGAGGTTTATTAGCATCAGCTTTCACAAATTGGAATGCCCGGGAACATATCTATATCACTTCCAAATATAATTGTATTGATATAATGTTGACCTTTCTATATACGTCTCATTGGAAAACTTACCAAATTTGGTCTTCCCTTGGAGATGCTCAACCTGGGAGTTTTATCCCTGCTAGGTCTTTATGACCAAAAAATAATTCAGATGGCATCACCTCTCAGTCAACGTGCTACTAATGCATTTAAAATATGTGTAAAGATTTAAAGATATCTTCTTTCTAAACCGACCTCTCCATTTTGGCTTATAACGTGTGCTGCTGAAGAGATGGATGTGACAAGTGGAATATTTACCTCTCCATTTGAGTGAAAAGCATATGACCTTAAAGGCTTTCTGTGTGTCAGATGATTTATTCTTTCTGTCATCGTCATTGATTTTTCCTCATGAACAGCTTCTGCATCTTATCAGAATGAAGAGCACATTTATCTTCTCCCAAGCTTCTGATTATTTTCCCAACAGATGAAGTTTGCTTTCTGATCATTTTATCTTCTTGTTTCTTCAAAGGCAGTTAGGTTGGTCAAAATATTACAGTTTGCCTCCATCCCCAAACTCTCACTTTTGTCCACTCCACCTCTTGTAGGGGAAAAGAGCCAACAAAAAGGAGCATGACAGTCATGGCAGCAGTCATGCTTAAGGGACAATAGCCTCACTCTTGCTCCGGACAGATGCTCAGTTGCGTCACAGCCTCTGCTGAGCAGAGACCCCAGAGCACCCTCCAAAGGAAGCCAAGGGACTAGGGATTTTCAGCACCCTGGCCTTTAGCTCACGGGGCTCCTGCTCTGCCCGGGACTGAGCGCCGAGGATACTCATGTCGTTCCCGTACTCGGAGCTCAACTCTGGATTGACCAGCTGCTTTGGCCCCAGACCATACAAGACCACAGACAAGACATGGAAAAGATTATGCATTCGCTTGAGCATTCGATCTTAGCTTGAGTGTAAAGCCACGTGCTGCGTGGTTTTGTCACGCACTACCAACGTGACTGTGTTCGTTTGCTGGGGCTGCTGTAAAGGTATCACAGACTGGGTGGCTTTAACAACAGAAACCTGTTATCTCACAGTTCTGGAGTTGAGAAGTCCAAAATCGAGGGGAGGGCAGGGCTGGTTCCTTCTGAGGGCCATGCGAGAAGGTACTCTTACAGACTTCTTTCCTTGGCTCGTGGGTGACAGTCTTCGCCCTGTATCTTCCCACTGTCTTCCCTCTGTGCCTGTCTATGTCCAAATCTCCTTTCATAAGGACACTGGGCATATTATATTAGGGCCCATCCTAATGACCTCCTTGTAACTTGATTACTTCTGTAAAGACCTGATCTCCAAGTGAGGTCACATTCTAAGGTACTGGGAATTAGGACTCCAACATATGAATTCCAGAGGGATGCAGTTCAGCCAATAACAGTAACCTTGGGTACATTTCCTCATCTGCATGAAAGAGGAAGAATTACGGCACCCAGAGAAATTTTGTGAAGGCCAGTGTGGTAATATAAGTCAAGTGCTTGTCATGAAGAAAACTTTCATGAAGTGCTTCTTCCATTTTCTGTATGAATCTAGATATATTGTTTCCTGTTGTGAAGTGACAAAATCAAGGAGAGTCAAAAAAAACATCTCACTTATCCACAATCAACTTATTTGGCAAGCTCAACAATCCAGAACAGAGCAGAGAGTCTTTCAATAATCAAATTCCCTACATAAAAATACTTTTAGAAACAATAAGATACATTCTTGGGCTTTTTTTTTTTTTAACCAAAATACCTGCTGTTTTTGTGTTAATGCTTATCCTGAGACCACATATAAAACAACCTCTGTGATCCAGTGAAAAGCTACAAACCGGGTTGGAGGCAACCTCTGGGCTATTAAAATCGACAGCCATGTGTGTGCTGTCCTCATGGGAGAGCCTCTTAAGACCTAATTCATAACCTGTTCTTAATTTAGAGAAAATTCTGATCAGCTGAGCTACATATTTCACAACTCTCTGAAGATTATAAACAGCAAAGGCAGAGAGGTAGGCTGATTGAACAAATATTGTAACAAGAAGAGATGGTGGAAGACTATCAACAAAGGAGGGGAAAAGCCTGTAAGGGGCAAGCCAACACAAGTGTTCCAAATGTGGAAGGACCCGGGGCCAGTTAGTGTTAGGGTCGACCCACCTCCGGAAGCGGGCTGCGTCCAGCACAGCCAAATACCAGTCCCCATGATGATCCTCTGGACTTTCACAGGAAGGTTAAATTGTGTCATTCCATTAAGTTAAAGGTCAGAGACAAAGCAGTCATGCTTGGAAACGTTTTCCAATAAAGCGATTACAATTTTCATATATGCAAATTAAATTAATATGTGTGGGAAATGTGAAAAACTTGCTTGCACAGAACAGAACATTCCCTAACAACGGCAAGAGAAGTTGACTTTACCACAGTGTCTTACTGCAACCTCACATTAGGTGCTGAGTTCTTATTTATTGAATGAAAGACTAAATGGTCCATATATACCATACCAGAAAGAAAAAGCAAGGTGGCTGGAGATGCCATTATGTCTTATGTACCCGCCTGCGACAGCGTTGTGTGACTAAGATTTAGGAGAGCACATTCTGCTGGGGAAGTTAGAGGTGAGTCGTGAGTCATCCCTGGCTTGGGGTTCCTCCCACCCAGGAAACCCAAGGACCAAGAAAGAGAAGAACCTTTCCTCACCTTTCTTCAAAGCAGAAGGACTCTCCTGAACATCACAGAGGCACGCAGGCCACCCTTCCCAAACTCCACGGGGAGGTCACTTTCCTTGAGGCCCACAATATCCCAGAACTAATGAGCAGGCAGAGGTACTCTGCTCCTCAGCATCGTCCTCAGGCACAGGCCTCTCTCCTCTCTCGGATGCTCCCTTCCTTCCTTCTAAGAGCATCATTCAGTCGAGCCTGTCTGCCTGTGTGAGATGCACAGTGGGTCCTTAAATCTAGGAGGTAAAAAGGGATAAATATTTAAAATATTTACCAAAACATATTTTCTCTGCACTTACTGTTTATGTAGCACTTCTCAACATAGCACTAAAACGTAAAACCTAAAGATTTAAGTCACTTGATCTTAGATGATGAATTAAAACAAAACTCAATTTCTGAGAATTTTCATCATATTGATGTTGATATTTGAAGGGACCGCACATGGATTATATACATCTGTATCATATATATCTCTCATAAGTTAAATATATAAAACATGATGGACTTTATTTTAGCAGACTTCTCATTAGGTTCACTGAGCTGTGTACTTAAGAGGTAGAAGAAAATTGGAATGGAGCCATACTGAGACAATGAGCAGAGCTGGTTTAATAACTTTTGTAATGTACAGTCTGGCGCAAGAGATATGTAGTAAACATTTGCCAACTACTAATATATGTTTCTAAGTAATGCCAGTGTGATTTTTAGCACATTTTAGTTTGTTTGGCAAATACTGAGTTCATGCTATGTAGGGCCTGTCTTTATTTTCCAAAAGGGATCTAACTCTAAACCTCATTTTCACATAATAAGTGCCCTAAAATGGTAGCTATTGCTGTTAATTTAATGTCTACAAAATCTGAATTATGCTCCATGAGTAGATTACATACACTATGCATGTAATGTACATACACACAATACATACAACAAATATGTCATATAAACTCTAATGTTTTATATTCTTTTACATGTTTATACTTCATGAAAAATAACATTAAAAGGAAAATAAATCTTCCCTGCTTTCAAATAGCAGGAAAAAAATTAGGAGTTATAAATGACTGGAGTTGGAAAACTATTTTTATAACCTCTAGTTGGAGGGAAGTGTTGTTTAAATCGACAAACAAGATCATACAGACCGGGTTTCTATGTTTGCACGAAGTTTGGTTGATGTAGCCGCAACCTAATGAAGATCTCAGACGGCATGAGACAATGACAGAAAAAGACAGATGGAAAACAGAACCTATGACGTAATTTCTAATTTCACAGTACAGTCATTCATCCTAATTAATATGGAGTCGATTTTGCTCATTAATAGCAAACAGTATTATCATATAACTGTATTTTAAACATAATTGCATTACTGATTATCTGGTTATTGTCATGGATATGCTCAGAATTGTGACATCTAAGATAAGAAGGAAGGTTAAAGGTGACCTAGAGTCCAAAAGTATCTTCCCCAAGTTGTCATCCAGCCGAGACTTCACACCTCCTATGTGAGAACCCCACCACCTGCCACAGTAGCCTAGACCATCTTTGAGCTACTGTAAAAACATTAAAAAAAAAGAGAAACAGTCATTCCCTATCTATAGCAAATACTGACTCAGTGCTTATGAAACATCCATCTCTAGCCTAAGGGTTAGACTCCTTGACGTTTAATAAAAAGGTAATAATTTATAGCTAGCAAGTAAAATCCACAGACTTGAAAGCAGGGGAGCTCCATGTCCTGTGCCAATAAAGTGGAGACTTATGGACAAAGCCCAGAGACTGAATGCAGCAAGCTCCAAAAGCCAACCTAAGGCTGAAACAGAGTATCTTGATTCCACGGCTATAAGACCAAAACAAACTGAAAAGAAGGAGGCATTTCAAAGAGCCAGGATTTTGGCAGATCAAAATGATAAGCAGAAGGAAGCAAACCAGCCAAAGTACTAAAATAAACAAAGGAGAGACAGCTCGTTTTACTAAGCCCAAAATCTCAATAGGTGAGCTAAAACCAAAAAGGTAAGGAATGCTAAAAGTATGAGATTAAAACTCAGGGAAGTAGGAATGTGCTTTGCAATAACCCATGCTCTTGTCTTTATTATATAAACAGGTAAAATGGAAAACTTTCTATCTTCAAAATTGAGTGTCTGGATAGCTGTCTCCCCCCACCCTTTTCACTTTACTTTGGTAGGTGTAGAAATATAGCATCATGGAGCATTAAGCTGCCCCCACCATTTCAAGAACGGAAAATATAAAATTTCAGAGTATCATCAAAGTGCTAGGAAAACTCCCATGTCCACAGTAGCAAGATGTTAACTGTCCCAAATTTTAAACCCAACTCTGTCCAAACGAGAATTCCTATCCTCTAAATTCCATCATGCCCCCTAATTCCAAAAGGATACAACCATTTACTCTAACTCAAACATAAAGAAGTGTCGCGGAGAAGGCCACACACAAAAAAAACACCATTTTTCAAAATTGCGATTTTTATTTATAATTGTGGGGCCTCTTACCACACTATAAAAAATCATAAATGGCATTGTCTGGCTGATTTACTCAAGAACAAAAGTTGTTACCTTTCTTGACAGGCTTGCCTCAGAACTTGCCATTGCCAGTGGTGTTATAACAGACGTAAATAGTATTTGTTTTAATAAGTAATATGTTTGCCAGCAGGTTGCACAGTGTTTGTCTTCTCTCAGACTCATTTTAGAGGGGTTTTTTTAATAGTTGTCTTACTTAATAGTCTTTTTGAAAAAAATTTTAAGTACAATTTTTGTATTTTGTTCCAGGGCATTCTTGGCTCAGGTTTTGCATTAAAAGTACAAGAACAGCACCGCCAGAAACACTTCGAGAAAAGAAGGAACCCAGCTGCCAACCTCATTCAGGTAAATGTCAATGTAATAGGTTGATGGCAACATCTGTCTCTCTGTGAGTGCTTGCTGGGTCATTTTCCAGTCTTTGTGCTTCGCTGCCTGGGAGAGCTACTGATTTGTTTTGTTCGTAAAAATGAAATTGGAGGGCGCCTGGGTGGCTCAGTTAGTAAAGCGACTGCCTTCGGCTCAGGTCATGATCCTGGAGTCCCGGGATCGAGTCCCGCATCGGACTCCCTGCTCAGTGGGGTCTGCTTCTCCCTCTGACCCTCCTCCCTCTCGTGCTCTCTGTCTCTCATTCTCTCTCGCAAATAAATAAATAAAATCTTAAAAAAAAATGAAATTGGAACTTAATGTACAGTCTTGGATTTGGGTAGACGATCCCTCCTCCCCACAAAAAGAAAAATATGTATTTTCAATAAATGGCCCATGCGTTGCTCAGATTTATTAACCATGCCAGCAAGAACATGCGGAGGTTAGCAGTTGTGTCGGTCCTGGAATGACCTAATGTATCTTACGGATGACTTGATGAAACATAATTGATCATTAAGTGATGGAGCAGAACATGGCATTGTTCCCTGCATTGTGATTACTTTCTCCAGGCAGATGTATGCCACTGCTCTGAAGAACAGCATATTTGTTTAGGATGTCAAGGTTTACTGCCCATGGGATTGCTTTTAATGCCACCTAGAGCAATAACTTGAAATAGTTCATCCTATTTTAAGAGCTGGTGGGATTGTGGAATATGTCAACGTTTGAGAATATGAAATAATAAGCATATTATTTGAAACTTACCTCATAATGTAAGGCTGTTTAATGTTTCATTTTCTTTTCAATAACTCTGGGTTTGCTTCAGCATTAGAAAGGAATGCTTCTCCTATTGCCATCTATATCTTTTGAGAATAGAACCATCCTAAAACCGGGGTGCTTAAGAATCACAAAGTATATTCTTCTCTAAATCCATGCCGTGAAGCTGGTATTTAATTATGGAGACAATGATTATACAATCTGAGATTTCTTCCCTTCCTGCCAAACAGTGGGGGACGCAGACCTTCTAAACTGTTGGGGTTTGGAGTGGCGATCTGAGATGCTAGGAGATTTATCTTCATGATGTAGTTACAAGCACACTGTTTTAATTTAGATTGTAGGTTTAAGTGGGTGCATTGGCGAGGGGCAACCACTGCACAACCCTACCTTTAGCCTTTGTCTGCAGCTGTAATATGCAGGACCTCCAACAGAAATGGATCAGGGGAAAGAAGCAGGTGAGGGCAGTTCAGTTATATCATGAAGGACATCGTTTTGTATCTAATGACTAAACAAGTATTAATTTTTAAATCAAACTACTCTACAACTACTGACAGACCATTGGGCATGACTTCTAATGCAAACCATCTCTATTTTTTTAATGCTTAGGTTTTAAAAGAGCATTAAAGAGAAATGTTGTTCTCTAAAACAAAAAGATTCCTAAGTAGTAGAAGCTGAAGATTTGAAGCCAAATGATAATCCCCATAATGGAAAGAGGTGTCACCCACTTTAGTATGCACACAAAACACCTGAGGCCCAGAGCTGTTAACCTTTCCTCCTTTGGTGCTTCTTAACCCTTATGAAGTGTTGCCACACTTTCAATGAATTTTTCATCTTACTATTTTTATCTTTTAATATCTCTCCTTCTCATCTTTTAATTCTAGAACAGTGTTTTCCAACTTGGCGAGTGCAGAAGCTATTCTATGGGTTCCTTACATCTGTCCGGGGCACCAAGCCCTGTCTATATATGGAACCATCATGTATCTTACCCATGTCGGGACTCCTCGCTCTCAGGAGAATGGAGATATTGTTATCACAAATAAAGTTCAAATGTATTTAAAATCCTTATTAAATTATTTCTTAGCTTTTCTATTTATATTTTCTCAATCAACACATACTCAAAATATAACCACTTTTAGGTACAGATCCTTGATACTTCTGGATATTAAAAGGGGGCTCTATATAAAAAAAAATTTTTAGAATATCAACTGTTCTGTTAGAAAGTGAGCCCTTTGAGGCATTTCTCATGCACATATCCCTTGTGATGATATGGAATTCTGCTGCCCAGTACAGTTGCCAATAGCTACATGTGGCTATTTAAGCTTATAAATTCAATTCCTCAATGGCACTAGCCATATCTCAAGAGGTCAGTAGCAATGTGGTGGATACTGGCTACCATATTGTACAAGACGGATATACAGAATATTGGAGGAACTTCCCTGATCTAACTTATCAACCACTAAATTGTGCAAAAACAATTTCCAATTGAACTTGAAAACAGACTGCAACTCTTGTAGCAAATCACTGGAGCAGAGGTATTTATAAGTCCACAGCTCAAGCCAGACAAGGCCTTCCTTTCAGATAACCCATAAAGAGTGAGAGGCTGACCAAACTGTTGTGCTTAGAGATCTAGAATTTCATTTTATGGAACTGGATTATGTAACATATACTGTGATCAATAATTAAACTTGTGCAAGTAAGAAGCTTTTACACAGCAAAGGAAACCATCAACAAAATGAAAAAGCAGCGTACTTAAAATGAGAGAAGATATTTACAAATGATATATCCAATAAGGACGTAATATCCAAAATATATAAAGAACTTACACAACTCAACACCAAAAAAAACCCAAACAGTCCTCTTTAAAAATCAGCAGAGGACCTGAATAGACGGTTTTCCAAAGAAGACACACAGATGGCCAACAGACACATGAAAAGATGCTCAACATCACTCATCATCATTGGAATGCAAACCAAAACCACGATGAGATATCCCCTCACACCTGTCAGGATGGCTAAAATCAAAAAGACAAGAAATAACAAGTGTTGGCGAGAATGTGGAGAAAAAGAAACCCTTGTGCACTGTTGATGGGCATGTAAAGTGGTGCAGCCATTGTGGAAGACAGTATGGAGTTTCCTCAAAAATTTAAAAATGGGAATAACATGTGATCCAGTAATTCCACTACTGAGTATTTACCCAAAGAAAATAAAAACACTAATTTGAAAAGATATATGCATCCCTCTGTTTACTGCAGCATTATTTACAATAGCCAAGATATGAAAGCAACCCAAGTGTCCATCAATAGATGAATGGATGAAGAATATGTGGTATACTTATACAATGGAATATTACTCACCCATAAAAAAAAGAGTGAGATCTTGCTGTTTGTGACAACAAGGATGGACCTAGAAGGTATTATGCTAAGTGAAATAAGTCAGACAAAGACAATACCATATGATTTCACTTATATGTAGAATCTAAAAAATAAAACAAATAAACAAAAAACAGGAACAGACCCATAAGAGAACAAACTGATGATTGCCGTAGGGGAGGGGCATAAGAAACTGGGTAAAATGGGTAAAGGGGAGTGAGAGGTACAGGCTTCCAGTTATGGAATGAATAAGTCATGGGGATGAAAGGTACAGCATGGGGAATATAGTCAATGGTATTGTAATAGCATTATATGGTGACAGATGGAAGCTGCACTTGTGGTGAGCACAACAATAACATATAGAATTGTCAAATCACTATGCTGTACACCTGAAACTAATGTAACAGTGTGTGTCGTCAATGCTTCAATAAAAAATAATAATTAAACTCATGCAGACGTAGGTAATATTTGTGAAATTATTAATTTTCTTTTACTTAAAACTCCAGCTTATGTGTTATGCTGAACAAAAAAATAGTATAAAATGAAAGGCTTAAAATGCTCAAGAATACCTTTAAAATCTAATCACAATTTCATTAATCAAAGTAGAATCGACAAATTTAAAAGGCAACTGTTCTCCCCCCATCCAAATGCAATTGATTTTTTACTAGACATAGGAATAATAATATAATTATTAAATGTTTTCGTTGTTCTTCCTTGCTGTAATCCTTAGCCAGAATTCAGAGCTTTAAGCTTTGATTATATATTGCAGAAATTTATTTTTAAGGATGCAGTAGATTGAAAAGCAATCCTCACTTGCTGATCCATTTATTTTCTCACCCAATAAACCTGCCTTGATTTGCTGAACACACAAAGCATCAAGACCAAGAGTAATGTCATTTGTTTTAAGCCAGAGCCACTGTCTTTCTCAAAGGGCACTGAAGGAGACTGGAATAATTATGGTGATCATTTCACATAATATACAAATATCAAATCATTATGCTGTACACCTGCAACTAATGTTATATGTCAATTATACTTCAATAAAAAATTAACATAAATAAAAAAAATAAAAAGGCACTGAGAGGCCCAAATTGCTTTGTCATTTGGTTGGTGAGACAATTAAATTAACCAGCCTTTCTGGGTTTTAGAGGAAAGTTGAAAACCCCAGCAGCTTTCAGCAAATTTAGCTGTGTCAATATCTTTTCATGATTTGTTTAAATTAACTTTTCATTTCAAGTGGGGCAGTCTGGGAAAAGAAAATAGCTTGAATACCTGCCCAAATGTCACAACTTTTATTAATAATGCCCAAGACGTGCAAAGTATTTTTCAGTTTGCAGGGTGTTTCTAATACATGATGTCACTTGATCTCCAGGCCAAGCCTAGGAAGAGCTAGGACTCATTCCCTGGGGTCTGAATCATAATGCATTACTCCTTTCAAATAGTAGCAGTTGCATCCTCATTTATGGATCTCTGAAGTCTTGGGGCTAGCATTTAAAGGATACTTCAAAAATGCCACATTAGGGGGTTTATTTTGAGAAAGATTGGACCAGCTCAGGGTGGAGCCAAGATGCTTGCTGGAAACAGAAACAGGAGAAATAAGTGAAAGTTTGTGAAGGGGATGCTGACCAACAGGCTTATTCTCCTGAAGGGAAGAGATTAGAAGATACTGCTATGGGGAAACTATGCGGCCCAAAAGAAAAAATAATTATATATTGAGACTTCGGCTTCCACCTGAATCTTCACCCAGTTACCCTGAAGTAAGGCCACCAGTCAATATGCTCAAGCCTTATACAGAGCTTATATAATCTTTTTTAGTGCTTTATTCATAAATAAGAACAGC